GTTATATGAAAGGGCGCACTATAAATATGATGTAATAATAATATTATTAATGTTATCATTTTCTGTAAGTTTCATTGGAATCGGTTGGTAATTGCGGTCTGTAGCCGTGCCACATGAAACGTCTGGTAACCTGGTATCTCCGAAACTGCTAACCGGAAGTGGTCGAATTTTTGGCTACTCTGAGATATTATTAATGTTATCATATTCTGTAAGTTTCATGGATATCGGTTCATAATTGCGGTCTGTAGCCGTGCCACATGCTATGTGTGGTAACCCCCATATCTCGGAAACCGCCAACCGGAAGTGGCCGAAAGTTTGGCTACTCAGAGATGCTATCAATGTTATCATAATCTGTAAGTTTCATTAAAATCGGGTAACAATTGCGGTCTGTAGTCGTAAGGCTATTTTCAAATTCTTGCTTACCACGTGTGGCAAATAGCCACTGCCATATAAATATACTTATAAGTTTCATTAAAATCGGACAAATATTGTGACCTCTACTATTTGTGTACGAGCAGCGACCAGTTTTAGTCCAATTTTCATGAAATTTGAAATCAGCCGTCATTAGAGTGTAACAAAGATACATTTGAACGATATTTAAAATCGGACAACAATTTTGGCCTCTAAAGGGACCACAATTTAGAAAGCGATTTTTCGTACGATCAGGGGCCATAATTCAGTCAATTGTGGCCTGACATGCTCGAATATAGAAATGAATTGAAATCTCAGGGTTATAGACATAAATTTTGAGTTTCATCTAATCGGGAAAAAAATTCTGACCTCTAGGGTGTCCACAATCAAAATACGTGATTTTTCTTAAAATCAGGGGCAATCCATGTAGGTACTGTCCGATACATGTCAATATCAAAATGAACCGAGATCTTTGGGAGATAACCCGATATTTCAAGTTTCGTCAAAATCGGATAAAATTTATGACCTGTAGAGTGTCTACAAATAATTGCGAGCGGACGTCTGGAAGTATGGTGTCATATAGACAATCGACCTATGATATCAATTCGAGGGTGAACTATTATATACTAAAATGGCTATTTTGGTTAACATTTAAACTGACTTCAGAGGTGCTGTGCCATACTCTCACATTATTCATTTTTATACGCCCACATGGAAATGTGGTCGTATATTGCCATCACCCCCGTCCGTCCGTCCGTCTGTCGGTCCGTCCGTCCATCCATCGTCCACAATTTCTTGTGAACACTCTACAGGCTACATTTATCATCTGATTGTTTTGAAATTGATATATGTTGTTTGCATTAGTGAGATGAAGAAGCCTATTTAATTTCAATAACTTCCGTTAATTTCTTCTGGAGTTTATGGCCCTTGTTTCACTTTGTTGCACCTTGTGAACACTCAAACGACAAAAGTTATCAACCGATCTGTATTAAATTTATATGCATCATTTAAATTAGTAAAACGAAGACGGCTATTGAATTCCAGCAATTTCCGATAATTACATCTAGAGTTATGGCCCTTGTTTCACTTTGTCGAATCTTGTGAATGCTCTAATGACAACAGTTATCATCCGATCTGTTTGAAATTGATATGCATCATTTAAATTAGTGAAATGATGAATCCTATTGAATTTCAGCAATTTCGAAACTGTTAATTACGCCGTGAGTTATGGCCCTTGTTTCACTTTGTTGTACCTTATGAATTCTCTAACGACAAAAGTTATTATCCGATCTGTGTGAAATTTATATGCATCAATTAGATTAGTAAAACCAAGAAGCCTATTGAATTTCAGTAATTTCCGTTAATTACATCTAGAGTTATGACCCTTGTTTCACTTTGTTGAATCTTGTGAATGCTCTAATGACAACAGTTATCATCCGATCTGTTTGAAATTGATATCTGGCATTTAAATTAGTGCAACAAAGAATCCTATCGAATTTCAGCAATTTCCATTAATAACGCTGTGAGTTATGGCCCTTGTTTCACTTTGTTGTACCTTGTGAATGCTCTAACGTAAAAGTTATCATCCGATCTGTATGAAATTTATATGTATTGTTGAAATTAGTAAAAGGAACAAGCCTATTGAGTTTCAGCAAATTGCTGTTAATTACATCTAGAGTTATGGCCCTTGTTTAACTTTGTTGAATCTTGAGAATGCTTGAACAACAAAAGTTATCACCAAATCTGTATGAAATTCATATGCATCAATCATTTGAATTAGTAAAACGAAGAAGCCTATTGAATGTCAGCAATTTCCGTCAATTACTTTTAGAGTTATGGCCCTTGTTTTACTTTGTTGAACCTTGTGAACGTTCGAACGACAAAAGTTATCCGATCTGTACGAAATTTATATGCATTATTTGAATTAGAAAAACGAAAAAGCCTGTCGAATTTCAACAATTTCTGTAGATTACTTCCAGAGTTATGGCCCTTGTTTTAGTTTTTAGAACCTTGTGAACCCTCAAACGACGAAAATTATAATGTCATCTGTATGAAATTGTCTATTAAATTCCCCTAATCACCTACAAAAGAATAATTATGTGACAACCCCTGTCGACTGCTCGGACGATTTAGCTGCTGTGGGCGTATGTTTTGTTGCCTGGCAACCTATCTTTTAAAGTTGCACAGGATCTTTGATTACAAACCGATTTAATAATAATAATAATAATAACTTTATTTCAAAAGGGTTGAAAATTAGGCCAATGGCCTTTCTTACATTTTGCCCTTTAATCAATGGGAACATATGTACATTAATAGATAGAGAAGAGATAGAAATTTATACATTAAAAATGAAACTAAAAAGAAACAAAACAAGTTGAACATGTATTTACAGATGTACATTAAGTTGTGGGCACATAAAAGGTTCAATATGGCGTTAAAGAAGATTGACTGTGACAAATTCATAATTAATATATGCAACAATGTATATATATAGATGGTATGATTATAAGGTTAATCAAATCGGGGAAAGACGGTAATTAATTTTCATTTAGATATTTAATTAGTTGGGCGCGGAAGGCGTTGCCGGATTTCAAATGTTTGAGAAAACATGGTAATGTATTCCATAGGCGTGATCCACAGAATTTAATACTATTTTTGACTACACTAAGATTTGGTCTTAGTACAATCAGTCGTTTATTAATGTTAGAGTAAGGGGTGGAATTATATAACAGTGTTTCGGCGAGGTAGTTTGGGCATTGTTGGTTTATAATTTTGTGCAAGAGCATGTATTTATTTAATAGTTGCCTGTTTTCCACATTCAAAACATTGATATTGTTTTTATTGGCTGCATCAGAAATTTCGGCAGTGTGTCGAACATCAAGAATAAGTTTAAGAGCTGAATTTTGCTGGAGTTGAAGTAAGTCTCAAAAATGTTTATCAGAGCTGTCCCATATAGGTGAACAGTAATCAAAATAGGGTTGAATATAACATAGACCGAAATTTAAGAGGTAGGAGTTGTTTTAATTTGCGAAGTTGAAATAATTTTTGGTTAATGATTTTTGAAACATATTTAACATGCTCATTCCACGGAAGATGGTTATCAACGATTACGCCTAGTAGTTTGAAGTTTGAGACATTTTCTATAATAGAATTATTGATAATTATTGACACGTTAGGCTGAATATGTTTTCTTTTTCGTTTAGTAGTAATTACCATACATTTAGTTTTTTGTTCATTTACAAGCATAAGGTTAATTTGGCACCATTTGAGTAGGGAATCGGTATCTAGTTGTAATTTAAATTGAAGGTCAGACATGTTATTTGCGGCAGTATAAACCGTAGTGTCATCGGCAAATAGGTCACAAGAGGTGGAGGGGGAGATCATTTATAAAAATGTTGAACAGTAAAGGCCCTAGGATGGATCCCTGTGGGATTCCATGTATAACGGGCTGAAAAGTAGATGTGTGTCCATTAGCAATTGTACTCTGGCACCGTTGATATAAATAACAACTAATGAACTTAATAGTTTTGGCTGAAAGTTGGTACAAATTACATTTAGCTAAGAGAATATTGTGGTTAACTAGATCAAAAGCCTTTCTAAAATCGAAAAATATTACACCAATAAGATTGCTTTTGTTAAGGGCTTCATAAAAGTTTTCAGTCATATTGGTAAGGGCAGTCAAACAAGAATGTTTATTTCTGAATCCGGATTGATAGGTATTTATCAGATTATGTTTATTCAGATAACTGTAAAGATTACGATGAATATGTCTTGCAAGTATCTTTGAAATTGTTGGAAGTATTGATATTGGCCGATAGTTATCTGGATCAGTTTTTGGTCCATTTTTATGAACCGGCAACACCTTCGCCTTTTTGAATACCTTTGGAAAATAATGTGATTTAATACACGGGTTAAATATATATGTTAAACTATTTGACAGATAATATGACCCTATCTTGAGGAAACGGGGATTTACCATGTCAACACAAACCGACTTAGTAATGTCTAGTGAATCTAAGGCCTTGCATACTTCATTAATTTTTATACGCCCACATTGAAATGTGGTCGTATATTGTCGTCGCCCCCGTCCGTCCGTCCGTCCGGCGTCCACAATTGCTTGTGGACGCTCTAGAGGCTAAAGTTAATATCCGATTGACTTTAAATTTATATACAGTGTTTAAGGCCATGCGACGAAGAAGCCTATTGATTTTCAGCGATTTCCAATAATTACTGCCAGAGTTATGGCCCTTGATCACTTCAAAAAATCTTGTGGATGCTCTAGAGGCCAAAGTTAATATCCGATTGACTTTAAATTTATTCACAGTGTTTAAGGTCATGAGACAAAGAAGCCTATTGATTTTCAGCGATTTCCGATAATTACTGCCAGAGTTCTGGCTCTTGATCACATCAAAAAAATCTTGTGGACTCTCTAGAGGCTAAAGTTAATATCCTATTGACTTTAAATTTATACACAGTGCTTAAGGTCATAAGACGAAAAATCCTATTGATTTTCAGCAATTTACGATGATTACTGCCAGAGTTATGGCCCTTGATCACTTTGAAAAATCTTGTGGAGGCTCTTAAAGTCTAAAGTTAATATCCGATTGACTTTAAATTTATACACAGTGTTTAAGGTCATGAGACAAAGAAGTCTATTCATTTTCAGTGATTTTCGAGAATTACTGCCAGAGTTATGGCCCTTGATCACTTCAAAAAACCTCGTGGATGCTCTAAAGGCTAAAGTTAATATCTGATTGACTTTAAATTTATACACAGTGTTTGAGGTCACGAGGCGAAGAATCCTATTGATTTTCAAAGATTTCTGATAATTACTGCAAAAGTTATGGCCCTTGATCACTTTGAAAAATCTTGTGGACGCTCTAGAGGCCAAAGTTAATATCCGATTGACTTCAGATTGATACACGGAGTTTAAGATCTTGAGACGAACAAGTATATTTGTTTTCAATGAATTTTTATGACTTGGAACAGCTAAATCCATGATACAGTATTAAAAGTTTTGTATACAAAACGTTAGCATGGTTTTCTGAGTTGTTGCTCTTAATCAGATTTTAGTGTATTATAAATGTTTCATTACCGAAAAAAGTAAAAAATATGCGACAACTTTTGTTGACTGCCCGGACGATTTAGCTGCTGTGGGCGTATGTTTCGTTGCCTGGCAACCTATCTTTATTAAAGTAATGTCAAATTCGGTAGTTTGAGGTAATTTTGATTTGATGAAGTTTTGGAGATGACAGTCGTTATCAGATTTTTACTTGTTGATATTATCCTTTATGAGTTTGTCAGCTATATTTGTAAAGTGATTGTTGAAAAGTTCAGGATCAATAGGGAGAGATTGAGTCATATTATTATTACTGTTTACTGATGTTTTAATTGCATTCCAAATTTGTTTAGAGTTTCGACTGTCAGAAACAAGGCTTTTTAAATACTCAGATTTAGAAGATCGGATCATGGATTTTAGGCTGTTTCTACATTTTTTGAACATGGTTATATTTCCTTTCTTCTTGTGATAATCCCTGTTGCGCATTATTGCTAATATTTCATTGGTCAACCAGGGTGGTTTAATGGCAGTTTTGACACGTCTGGTTTTGAGAGGAGCATGCTTATTTATAATTGGGGTTAGTATTTTATACCATAGATCAAGACACTCATCCGGATTATTGGAGTGAAGTATATTATCAAAGGCTGCGGAGGCTAAGTCACTCAGGTAGTTGGCTTCGTTGAATTTTTTGAATGATCTATAGGTAATATAAATGTGTCTTGTTTTGGGGATTTTGATACCTTTTTTACGCCATGTAAAGCAGATTGGAAAGTGATCCGAAATAGAGTATGTGGGGACAACAGATTCAATAATATTATTGGGAGAAGAAACAATGGCATGATCAATCAATGTAGAAGATCTATTCGATACATGTGTTGGGCGTGTAATGATTTGTTTCAGATGGTAATTATCGAGAAAATCAGTCCAGTATTTATTGACAGGATTTAGCAGATCGATGTTTATATCCCCAAAGACTGTGACTTCGTAATTTATATCTATTATAAAGTCCATCATTTCCTTAAAATCTATTAACCACTTCGATCTTGATGCAGGGTTTCTATGTGTACATGAAATTAATAAAGGCTGGGTGTTTTTTTTAAATTGATTTCGACCCAGACTGACTCAATATTACTGTGTTCTAAATCATTTCTTTGTTTACATTTAAGTGACTCTCTTACATAGATTATGGTTCCAGACGAGGTTGTATTGCAACCATCTTTACGAAATGGGGGGTGAAATCCGGGTATAGTTAGATAATCATCCTTGATGTTTTCGTTTAAATGTGTTTCTGAAAAACCTACTATATCATAGTTATCAATTAACAGCTTTAGTTCATCTAATTTGTTATATAAATGACACACATTTAGGTGACAGAAGCGTAGGCCTCTCTGAGTTAAGAAGTTATACATCGAGGATTTAATTTTATTATATAATTATTTACTTATTTTTGAAAAAAAAATAAAAAAAAAAATAAATAAATATAGGGAAAATAAGTAAGTGCAGGTTTTACACGAGAATCAATTACGTATTACCCAAGGTGAGATGAAAACAATACATAAATGAATGCATGTACACGTACGTGTACCTATAATTATAAAAACAATCACAAATACATGTACGAATATTTGCACGCAATAAATGTAAGTAACAAGAAAAATGCTTGTTTACACTTAAAAAAAACCCCCAAAAAACTTATTTACACGACAATCAATTACTATCGACTTAATAAAACGAAATTGATAAATATACCTGTAACTCAATCACAAATACAAACAGATTTTGTGCATGCAACAAAAGTAGTAAAGTGACATACGCATATTTTCAATCAAGGAAAGGGTAGAAGAATGTGAGCATCCATGGAGTGTGCAGTTCAGCTTAATCCTATATGGTCATCAATGTCAAATAGAATGACATACCATAAATTTTACAATGTTGATAACACTTGTAAAGGATATTGTTCATGATATACTTATAAATATACGATCTCATGTTTACATGAAAGACTTTTCATGAACCACACACACGGAAGATGCTATTAATGGCTTTTAAGAAACTATATCTAAGTCTGTAGCACTTTAAACAGAAGCTACGATGTAGGAATTGGCACACAGAGAACAACATGTAGTCTCACTCTCACTTTTTGGTAGGAGCGCATAGTACTTTAATCACATCCTATGAATTTAGCACAGAATAGCTCCTACACGTGTATAAAATAATCTGGAGCACTATACTGCGATATAAACAACTTAGAAACATAACATGAAACTAAAGAAACTTTATGTAGTTAGTATCAATGGTACTGATCAGCACCTAAGAGTATGTATACATGATGTATTGTACTTCGCACTATGTGGTATGTACATGCGTAATATACGTATACATGATGTATTGTACTTAGCACTATATGTTATGTACATGTAATATACGTACATATACGGTAAGCTTAGTTCCTGGAGATTGGAGGCCATATGCTACTTTTGTTAATGTTCATTGAAAATGATCTTGATGTATGTACACGAGGTGGTGGTGGAAATCTTGTGTCTGGTAGTGGTAAATGATGTTGAGCTGAAATTGAATATGTAGTTGCCAGTGTGCTTTCATCAGATTTCAGGGAGTTTACGGTTGTCCCCTGGTATAGGTTGAGGGCCCCTTTGAGGATTGAAGCCAGTCTGCCAGAGCCTTTAAGGTTAAGGTGAGCCTCATTGCGATAAAGATGATGCTTGATTTTATTCTTATCATTATGGTGAGAGAAGCTGGTTGAAGTCCTAATAAACTTGCTTTTAGTAACAGCATACACTTCCTGTAGCACATTATTTAGGGTGTGAATAGGCTTATTAATGTCTCTATTTCTGCTGTTCAGTCTTGGTAAGAGCTGAAGAAAATTCACATTTGCTTTTGGGAATTTGTGTTTTGCACGTTTTATAAGATTGAGGTATGAATTTTTGCAATCGTTGAAATCAGTGTGCGGAGAAGCATTATTTGATCCAATCAGGAAAGCAATTTGATGAGTTTCTTCTGATATTTGACATTTTCCAAGGAATTTGTATGTATCTCCTATTTGTCCACCACTAATGTTACGTACTCCTTGGTTTTATGTCTTGCAAGATAGACGAGCCAACCACTATGTTCTTGTGTTTATCTAACGGTTTTATCCGCTCATGGCGTTCGATTGGGACAGGTTTAGCAGTAATCTTTGATTCGTTTGTAGGGCTCACAGGTTTAGCGAAATCTTTGATTTGTTTGTAGGGCTCACCTTTGGCTTTTCCATGAGTTCAATTTCAAGCTCTGGTGCTTTGGTCATTTTTATACGCACACATTGAAATGTGGTCGTATATTGTTGTCGCCCTCGTCCGTCCGTCCGTCCGGCGTCCACAATTGCTTGTGGACGCTCTATAGGCTAAAGTTAATATACACAGTGTTTAGGGTCATGAGACGAAGAAGCCTATTGATTTTCAGCGATTTTCGATAATTACTGTCAGAGTTATGGCCCTTGATCACTTTGAAAAATCTTGTGGACGCTCTAGAGGCTAAAGTTAATATCCGATTGACTTTAAATTTATACAGTGTTTAAGATCTTGAGACGAACAAGTATATTGATTTTCAAGAATCTTTATGACTTGAACAGCTAAATCCATGATGTTAAAATATTTGTATACTAAACGTTAGCATGGGGCAGAACTTTACAAAAACCAAACAAATTCTAATGGTTTTCTGATAATTACTTAATAAGTTGTTACTCTTAATCAGATTTTAATGTATTATAAATGTTTCATTACCGAAAAAAGTAAAAATATGTGACAACTCTTGTTGACTGCCCGGACGATATAGCTGCTGTGGGCATATGTTTCGTTGCCTGGCAACCTATCTTTAGCAGAGTTATATCATTCATGAGGTCCATGTTTGAAACTTTTAAGGTTGCATTTTCACTTCTGATGTCATCAACAGCAATCATTAAATCACAATTTAGTTCTTCAAGAAGTTTTATTTCTTCACACAGTAAGATATTCTTGGCCTGGGTGTTATGGAGACAAGAGGTGATTTTATTTAATTCCACTCTCAAGCCAGCCACTGTAGATTCAAGAGCGGTTAAATTTGTGTGAAGAGTAGCTAGACGGTTACATGTACCTCTTTCGTTCAATCTATTTATATTTGAGGATCTTTCCGGGACAGGCAGACGACTTGTTCTTTTCTGTTTGATTGTACCGGTACCTTGAATTATATCATTCGTTTCAGTAGATGAAGGGAGTTCCCAAGAAATATTCTGCACACTTGATTCGTGTATGGAGGTTGTAGAATTTGTGTCAGAGAGATCGGGTGTACTTAAAGTTAAATCTTGGTTTTCATATAGACTGCCTGGGAAACTTTCAGATTGGTCAATTTGATGGCTCAGGTTGAAGCTGTGATGCAGTGACTCTTTTACAATATTACTTAAATCTTCAGCTTTTTCATTACTAATGAGGTCAACGATTTCGGGAAAGTGGTCGTTTAAAAAAATGGATTCTCCGGAGCCATTCACAAGGACAGTGGATGTGGTATTGTAGAAATTGATAACATATTTGTATGGTCTCTCACTCTCAAGCGAGATAATAGTTGTAACTGTATAACTGCAACTTTGACAAGTTTTGAAAAAACTTTCAGAATAAGCACTAAGGACTTAATTAATCAATTAGCACCACCGTTTGACGTCACTTTAACAAAAATCTAGGTCAAATATCAAATTTCTACTGCGACAATTGATTGCGAATTGTGATTGCTTTCCAAAAATATCAAGCTGTTGACATTCAGATAAGAATTGTAGGACGAGTATGGTTTTAAAGACTGACATTCCGTTTTCAAAATGGTGGTACATACGGTGAATTTTATCTTGGTGAGATTACTCTAAAAAGTTGATAGACGACTTGTATTGACAAATATTTTTAAACGGCATAATTAAAGAAGTTGAAAATCGGACGTCATTTTCAAATGGGAGATAATCGGAAAATTTTTGTTGACATTTTTGACTTAATCCACCCATTTGTAATGTATTCTGAAAGTTTCAAGTCGAAATACAAACAGCTGCAAAATGGCTGACATTTTGTTCTCTAGTCGGATAAACTAGTGATCAGGCTACGAACGATATCTGGGCAGATCTATTTATCTCGACGATCGGTGCCTGACATAATACTGTAAGACAGCATTTCCGGCAGTCTATTTTTCAAAATTTTCTGGGGGAGGACTCCCTACTTTGACGCTCGTAAGTGGGCTTCGTCGTGATTCGCAAGTCGATCCGTTCGTTTGACACTTTACCTCATCGATCGCCAGAAATATTGCCAGGCTGCATTTCCGGCAACCTGTTTTTCAAAATTTTCTTTTCTTTGGGGGCCTACCCCTATTTGAAGCTCGTGCCTTTGCCCCCTTAACCTTGGACTTTGCCCCAGCTTTGCCCCTCCAATCACCGACGGCTGGCGCCGCCACTGTCTGTGTGTCGCCTACAGGCCACAATTCTTACGTGATCATCTTGAAACTTTTAAATACCTTTTCCTTATACCCTAAGGATGATCCCTATTGTTTTTGCATGCCCGACTCCCAGGGGCAGAGCCACGCCCATTTCTTGTAATTGTTTGTTTGTTGTCTACAGGCCGGATTTCTTAGCGTATTATCTTGAAACTTTGCATACTTATTCTTTGTACCATAAGGAACATTCCTATCGTTTGGGGTGCATGCCAAACCCTCAGGGGCAGAGTCACGCCCATTTCTTGTATTTGTTTGTTTGTTGTCTACAGGCCGCATTTCTTAACGTATCATCATGAAACTTTGCATACTTATTCTTTGTACCATAAGGAACATTCTATGGTTTGGGGTGCATGCCCAATCCCAGGGGCCGAGCCACGCCCATCTTCTCTTTGTGTGCCTGTGTGTCGCCTACAGGCCACAATTCTTAAGTGATCATCTTGAAACTTTACATACTCATTCCTTATACCCTAAGGATGATTCCTATTGTTTTTGGTGCATGCCCGACCCCCAAGGACCGAGCCACGCCCATTTCTTGTATTTGTTTGTTTGTTTTCTACAGGCCGCATTTATTAGGTGATCATCTTGAAACTTTACATACTTATTCCTTATACCCTAAGGATGATCCCTATTGTTTCTGGTGCATTCCCGATCCCCAGAGGCAGAGCCACGCCCAATTCTTGTATTTGTTTGTCAACAGGCCGCATTTCTTAAGGTATCATCCTGGAACTTTGCATACTTATTCTTTGTACCATAAGGAACATCCCTATTGTTTGGGTTGCATGTCCAACCCCCAGGTGCAGAGCCACACCCCCATTTTCTTTTTGTGTGTCACCTACACAGGCCACAATTCTTAATCGATCGTCTTGAAAAATATCATATGAATCATGAATTCCTTATACCCTAAAGATGATCCCAATTGTTTTTGGTGCATGCCCGACCCCCTGGGACAGAGCCCCGCCCATTGCTTGTCATCTACATGCCGCAGTTCATTTTGAAACTTTGCATACCTATTCGTCATACCCAAAGGATGCCCCCTATTGTATTTGGTGATTGCCCAACCCCCAGGGGCAGAGCCACACCCATTTTTTTGTTGTGTCTCTGTGAGTTGCCTACAGGCCTCGATTCCTAATGGATTGTCTTCGAACTTGGGATATGTATTCCTTACAGCCTAAGGACGCCCTGGGGCAGAGCCCAATTTTTGTGTTTATCGTTTACAGGCCGGAATTCTGAATGGATCAACTTGGTACTTGACATATGTATTGTATTCCTTATAGCCTAAGGGCGTCAACTATTGATTTTGGTGAATGCCACGTCCAATTTTTGCCTTTAGCGCCCGAAGGCCACAATTCTGAATGGATTATCTTGGAACTTGGAATACTTAGTCCTTATACCCGAAGGAGGGCAACTATTGATGTTGTCATTTCAATAACAGGGTGGTACCTATTTATATTGTTCCATATCCAACCCCCAGGGGCAGAGCCACACCCATTTTTGTATTTATCAACTAGTCTTATAATCTGAATGTATCATCTTGGAACTTTGCATATTTATTCCTTATACCGTAAAGACGGCAACTATTTATTTTGATTCTTGCCCTGACCTGCTGGGGCAGTGTCACACCCACTTTTTTGTTAGTATTTTGTCTGTAAATTTGGCAAAACAAACCCAACGCCTAGTTTTCTTTGCCTCTTATCCTATTACAGCCATTTCATATTTCATTCTCTTCGTTCTAAAAAGTACCATATCAGTCAAAGCTGGAATGTGGACGTATATTGCAGCATTAGCGATGCTCTTGTTCAAATGCTCTAACGACAAAAGTTATGATTCAGTCTTTATTGGAATTGATATCAGTGTCCTGTAAAACGCTCACATTAGGCTACCTACAAAAGAATAAATATGTGACGGCTTCGGTTGATATAGCTGCCATGGACGTATGCTTCGTTGCCAGGCAGCCCATCTTTCTTACTTGTAGAAATTTGGCGCTTCATATATTAAATTAAGTATAGTTCAAAGTTTATTGTTAAAACCCCCCCCAAAAAAACCTTAGAAGTTCACCGCTAAAAACAATTTGGCCCAATTTTTCGTCTTTCTTTTACAAAGGCGAGAACTCGGACTAGATAATTCCAAGCCCCCGTTATTTGAATAGTTCCAAATGCAGAAACCCAGTGTTGGAAAAGTCACAGATTTTCCAGTTTTCGTATCTTGCATATAGGTCAAAAATTTTCGTCTTTCTTTTTCAGAGCCAAATTTGAGTAGGCTAGTTGGATCAGATAATTCTGAGTTTTCTTTATTTGAATAGGTCCAAATCCGGAAACTCGGGACATGAAAAGGCTACAGAATTTCCAGTTTTCTTATTTTGTATAAGGACAAAATCTAAGGCTTGCTTGGTTGCATGAAAACCTATATTTATATGGAATATTTTTATAGCCATGGATGTTTTATCGTATCGACCTTTTGACTATATTGTGTCATACTCTCTATATACTTTTTTCAGTTTATAATTTCGATGGCAAAGGAATGGCACAAAGCCTCCGAAATACCATTAGGAGATGGCGAAGTAAACCATACGACTGATCAACAAACCATTTCTCCAAGTACTACTTCACCTACAGAACAAAACTGTGCAGGAGAAACTGATCCGCAGTTAACAGATGTTGCAACCACCCTGGTTAATCCCAATCTCCAATTCGGACAGCAACCAATATGTAGACAACCAAATAATTTAGAAAAAGGTCAGATTAAATGTACAGATATCTTCAGTGGGCACCAAGGGGCAAAAACGCCGGTTAACTGTGGGACAATAGATGAACCGAAAGCACAATTAAATACGTTAGAACCAGTTAGGAATAGTGTAACAGATGGTTTAAATCCGTCTGGACAGGAAGGAGCAGAACAGATGCAGGTGACACAAATCAAAAACACAAGCCCACATCCTGATCAGATACATGAAAATAATATTTCGGTAAACAGCCAACAAAATACCCATCCATCCAATGAAAAATTTATTCAAGAACAAAGCTCTTTAATGGATTCTTTCGTTTTGATAGACGTGAGTGACGAAGATGATTCCCACAGTGTAGACCCACCAGATAACAGTTCTGGCGATTCTAGATCAGGAACTTTTACAGAACCAAATTTTAATCATCATGATAAAAACAAGGAAGAAATGATGCAACCTTCACTAGGAGGACAGTCAGGTAACCCATTAAAAATGAACTGAAGTCAATGCATATTTTATCTTGTATGTAGGCCCCCTATCATCTTCAATAGAAGGTTTTGATATTGCCCTTTACGTAATACCCTGCATATTTCGGAACTAATTTTGATTGGCTACTGACCCAGCTGCCTATTAGCTTCTATCATTCCTCGATCATTGTGAATACCAAGTCTCACGCTTTCCAGCTAAAATATCTACCTGTGATAATCGAGCTGCTTTATCTGCTGTTGGTGTATGTTTCATTCCCCGACAACCTATCTTTTCTGTAGTTTTCATTATTTTACTTCTTTCTGTAGTGAAGACTACGCAAACGTGGGGCAATAAGCGTCAATGCATCTCCAGCAGCATGTAAACATAACAGGCGATTTCCGGGCGTATCAAATGAGACGTTCAAAACAGTTGTCTACATAATACTTTATTCAACCAAAAAATCTCTCATATGTTGATGTGATGATAAGATGATATTGATTATGATGCTGATTATGATTGACTGAAATATATAAACATTCCAGACATAAATACCAGAATTAACATACAACAATAGAATAATAAAGTTATAAGTATGACAAGAATATTCTGTCGCAAAACAGAAATTCGTCTGCAGGCCTCTTATCTTATGCACTCAAGTCGGATTTAGAGAAGGCTTATGGCGTTTTTGTGAGTCGATTAGATTAGGTTTTGATTTGCTAGTACGATTTGGTATGATTTCGATTTGATTAGCTATGGTCCACAAATGTGAAATTTGATAATTACGATTTGGTAAGATGGCTGCCATCACGGACACCGATCAGAAAAAAAAATTGTCTCTGCTAATTATTGATGACTTGTTAAAAACAAATGAAGGTTATCTACGCAAAAAAGGAAAAATGGTTGCCGTTAGAAACAATCTCCTATGTCCAACAAGTTCAAGTATTTTTTGGAAAACTGAAGTGACAAAACATGTAAAAAGTGTCCTGAGAAAACCTAGGATCGAGGAATATATTGAAAAAACTGTAAATGAATAAAATTGCTTAGAGGTGATCTAACATTCTTGTGGACTATAAAGTTAACATTAAACCCGTCACATGCGTTTTAAAAAAAAAACATTTTTTATGGAGAAAAACAACAATAAGCATTAAAAATTACTTACGACGTTGAACATTCCGCCATTTTGAAAAAGTCAAATCTAATCGCCTAAACACCTCCTGGGACGATTAGGTCGATTTGCCTAATCAGTTGAGTTAAATCGTCTCACAAATGTAACGATTAGCATAATCAACTTGGTTCACAAATGCGTATAATAGCTAATCGGTCAAATCTAATCGGTTCACAAAAACGCCTTTAATGTCAGCTAATATTGAATAACAATTACTTGATGACAGTTTACATTCATTCATTATCATAACCAATATTAAACTAATAATATATCTTTTGTCTTTGAAAAAAACATTATAACCTTGACAAAAATAAGGGACGGTTTGCCTGCAATGGCGGGAAATGAAGGAAAGGCACATGGTCCACATCACGTAAAGATTACAATCAAATTTACTGATAAAAATGCAAAGACAGTGTCATTAATTCTCATAATTTATGTCTGTAGCAACTCTGCTTCAAATCTTACCGTATATTATGTCATGCCAGATAGATGGAAAGAGATGAGACAAGAATTAAACAGTAAACATCTACAACATTCTTCCTAGGAAGACATTTTGCACAAGACTAGATCATACAGGGCTTGTCTCAATCTGTTTCACAGAGAATTACGAGTCTCGTATAATATCTCTGTCATAGATGACTGCCTTAACACGTGCTGTCACAGCACGCGGTGTGAATTATTGGCTGAATGGCGGGTGCATTGTTTACATAAGACATAACTGCTTCGGAGAGAATGCTGCATTTTAGTCATTTTAATACCCATTTACACCAAATCGGAAATAATTTTTAACTACAAATACGTCAAACGCCTTTATTTATTTTTCCAATATATACAAAAAATGTTTTAGAATTTAATTTGTCGCAGGAAAAAAGTTAATATAGAGCAAAGCTCTTTTCCGGTAACACAGGAGCGTAATTGAAAATGTCACCCACAGACTGTTGATTAAAAAAAAATTCAGCCGGTACCGGATACACTGGGCAAAACAGGCAATGCGCATGTCAACTTACTAAATCTCGCCCAAGCGAGATCACGTAACTAACAAAAATAATTCTATCCACCAAATCTCGCCCAAGCGAGATTACGTGCCTCATAGAACTATTTCTATGACGCGTCTAATCAATGACGTCACATATTTTTTTACGTCAATGAAAATAATTCTCACACTTTTTTGTTCTTTTTTTAAAAACAAAATTAATGTATAAAATTTAGATCTCAATAAAAACTAAATTATTTAATATAGAGCGAAGCTCTAAAGCATCGCAATGCCTGTTACATATTATTTCTAGCTCATTAAGCCGCATCAATGTCATCCTTATCAGTGATTGTCGCGGCCAAGCAAATATTCACTGCGGATCAGTGTGAGCTTGTCTAAGAGAACAAGTTGAACAGGGTTACTTGACATTCAAGACTACCATTATCTGGAGGTCTGAACCAAATTTAGGAATGCTTATACATAAAACGAAAGGAAATCAAACAAATAAAGTACACATGGTACTAAGTCAATTATTAAAGGAAAGGTGCAATTTGACCGTTACATGTAGTTTTCATTATTTTACGGTTTTCTGTAGTCTATATTATTTTAATTCTTTCAATGGTCTTCGTTTGTGTACTTTCTGTAGCTTCCTATGTTTTATTTCGTCTTCTGTAGCCATCTTAATACCCAGTGCTGAGTTAACCATTAGGCAAATAAGGCACGTGGACTCAGACTAGCAATTATTTGCCCATTGACTTCAATGTTAAATGACTGTAACATCACAGGCTGTAGCTTTTTGCTCAACATTCCGTTGGTTCCAATCTTTATAGGCACAATGGGGACAACATTTGGCAATCTCCTCATCATAATTTTGTAGGGGGTTGACCATTTAGATTTTTTGCTACACGGATTTGAAGTTGACAGGGGTGAAAATCTCACTTCCGACACAATGATTGCTCTGCAGAAAGACACTTTACACCCCCTATCCCTCCGCTGTAATATCATCAGTATTACCCAAAACTGCTATGAAATTGCAAATTTGGTTCCTTTTCTCCAATTCTAGACCAAAAAGTCAACCCAAAAATGCAGGAAGAGGGGAGAAAAAAATTAAGGGAAAATCACGAAATAAGGGGAAATAATTCCATCATGAAATAAGGGGAAATAATTACTAGTCTTAGTCCACGTGCCTTAGGGCCAGCTAAAAATTCAGGCCTCAAAAAATAAAGTGAAAAAAAGTTGTAATCTATCAACTGTAATTACAGTATGTACTGTCAAAAATCTGGATCTTCTAATGATTTTTAATAATTACTTGTAGTGTCTTGTAGTATTCTGCCATTCGAACTAAATCACTGCTCGAATATTCGGCGAATATCAAGCAAATATTTGAATAGTATTCGAATAGTCGCTATGAAAATATGAGAACACACAACGTCAAATGAATTTGTATTATTTCTTAAACATCTATACAAACCGTGTGATATGGTGATATATACGGACTAAATCATATTCAAACTAATCAATTGATCAAACATTTGCTTCAAATCTCTCTCAAAAGATTTTCAATGTACTCTTGTTAATCAAGTAACTTGATCGAAGAGGGGTCAATTTCCGTATCATATTTTACGGGGTATAAGTCGATATGGAGTATAAGTTGAATTGACAAATTGTTGTTACTCGGTGCACATTTAATTTTTTTTTTCGACATTTAATCTCTGTACTTTTAGGTCTGTATCTTTGATTCAGGTAAAAATAAAGCATTGAATTGTGTTGATTGATGTGTTATTCCGATTAGATTATTGTTTTGCAAGATTAAGAAGAGAGAGAGAGAGAGAGAGAGAGAGAAATGGGATTTAACGTCCACTCGACACAAACTAGGTCATTTCGGGACTAACATATTTAATTTTATTTCAATAATTTGCTTGCGCTTAGGGGTCTTTAGCAGTGGGAGGAAACCGGAGGACCCGGAGAAAATCCACGAGGTTGGACAGGCGACCCTACTCCTTGTCACGTACAACCGGGGATTCGAAACCACGCCAGTTGACTCAATGACAGGCCTTATGATACAGCACGCACGTGCTAACCATTCGACCATCCACCCCCCCAGATTAAGAAGAAGCCGATATGCATATTATAATATCAAGGGGGTCAAGAGTCATTTTAAGACATGGGTTATCATTGAATCATTTTTTAAAGTCATGCTGTGTAAATTTCTGATAATTAATTCATGATATAGGACAAATTAATGTAGGTCCTCTATTATAAAAAAAGCCTTTTTTCATTTTAATTATTATTGACTATTTGTTACAGGAATTTTGAGTGGTGATAATTTGTATATACACTCTGATGGACCAACTACAGAAAATAAAACATCACCTACAGAACAGATAAAGCCTCAAATCCAAGCTAATTATCAACCAAGTATTTCTGACAGTACCAAGATGGAAATCACTGTCACTAATAATCCAGTATATCCAATTCCACAAAAACAACCGAATTCCATGCAATCTGATGTACAACTTCAACAGAAAAAACACCCTGAATCGAAATTGCGAAACAACAGTGATATTTGCGGTTCAGAAGATAATTTAAAAACACCGATGTTGAATGAAGAAAACAAAAAAGGTAACAATATTTTCCGGAATTAATATTATCTCAAATGTTAAAGAAACAATATTCCATATATCCAATAAAACTTATCATTTCATAACCTAGAATCTTATAACAGTAAAAATATAGATCAGATAGCATTTAGATAGGAATTATATTAAACTTTGAATGTCCATAAATTTATGCATATGGTGAAATTCTTGACTATCTTTTGTATGAGCTGTTAAAATTACAGTCTTCATTAGCCCAGTTGGAGCAGAACAGTAAGTCTTAACTCTGTACTCCCTTTTCGGAGAATGTATAGCTCGTCAACAGGTCAGAGTAACAGAAATGAATACATGGATCATATTTTAAAGGAAGGGGTTATTCATAACCATGGTGTTTATGAGTTACGATTACCTTGTAAATACTTTTGAAGCACTGAAGAAGCATTTTAAAGACTGACAATTATTGAACTAAACTGAGCTAACCTTAACCTGTGTTCTTGTTTATTATACAAAGTATCCCCTTAAACATTGTCCTAATCCTAACCCTAAACACTGTGGTTGCGAAAAACATCTTCCAGTTTTAAAAAGTAAAATGTTTGATTTTAATTTTCAGATGTATCAACAAACATGATGACACTAAAAGTAACAGGATTCGACTTCCAAACAACGGACGAAATGATCAAATTGTATTTTGACAACAAGAAAAAATCTGGAGCTTCTGCAGAAAACATACAAATTTCTAAAGATGATGGTTACGCACTTGTAACTTATTCAACATATGAAGGTGATAACTCTGGCCACATGACTAATTATATTCCACATGAACCCTTTTTAGAAAAAAAATATTTTTCAAACAAATCAAAATGAATCTGAAAATCATCAGGCAAATTCAATGCAAAATAAGTTTTGTGTTTTATAGTTCAAAATTTCGTTTTGCCTGTCTTTACTGTACAAGGATCTGGAAGTGTTGTTATATAACTATGGATCTCATATAAGGTATATGTTCTAATATGCTAAGTTCTATTATGCATTTGTCTATTCTGCAAAATGCAGAACTATTATCCTGTATTTTGTATTATTGAAAAGTGTATTCTGTATTTTAACACTGTGACATTGGTATTGTGGAGCAATGCAAATTGCAAATTGTAAAACTAAGGCAACACAAATAAAATAAGTTGTTTCTCGGGCACCGCCCGCACTCAAAATTGGTTGCGCGTGCGGCCTATTTATTGGTCTTGATGAAAAATAAAAAATATGTAACGCCCGCCAGAACATCGATAAGCAAGTCATAAAAAGAGTATGCCGCATGTATCTACATGCCCCATACGTGGATATCCATTCAAATGTATTAAACTGATTCAGATGTAAACGCTCATTTACGGGTCATTTTTATAGATATCGAAAGAACCTCCATTTTTGTATCACGTGATTTTAATTACCTCCCCTTGTGAACTAGAATTTGATTCGTGTTAAACACCGAAAGTCATTGACAACAATGCATTGTATTTCAATCATTCGATCTTAATCGGCTCATTATTGCCGGCTTCAGTCGGTTCATGTTTGAAAAAATCCTACTTATAAAACAATGAATCGTAGAACAGGTTAATTATTATAAACTGTTTCAATGGCATTTAGTAATTGAAATAGAGTATACAGGTCACAATTCTATGGAATACAATTACTGCTTTTTACTGAGCGACGTTTCGACTAGGCTTCTCTAGTCATTACTAGGCTCAGTAAAAAGCAGTAATTGTATTCCATAGAATTGTGACCTGTATAATTATTATAACTTGTGGCTACGAATACGATACGATGATAGTCACCATACCTTAGTCAGAATCTGGGTCATTAGCACATTTAACGGTAGTTTTGATAATCCGGAAAATAATAATTGGATTACACATTTGATGGTTTTACTGACCAGTTGTTAGTTAAATTTAAATAGTCATTCGATATAAACCCCAGATAGAACACCGAATATCCTGAGAAACACACCGAATATCCTGAGAAACAGTCATTTCCCGAATCCCGATGACACGTGACATGCATTGGTTGGAATTAGGTCAATCATTATAAACCAGCGATACTAGATTTAGATCTAAGTGTCGTTTACCGTGATGATTATTTTTGATACACATGCTGACAGAGGCTTACCCTTTAAAATATTGTCATTATTATGGACGGCTATTAATAGTCGTACGGAATTTTATTTTAAACCAATTTCAATTATGGTTGTCACCATTACCATTAGTAAGCTACATTACGTGAATTAAATATGGAAAATTATTTTCCTTACAGTCAGTGTTCAGTGTTTGAGTAGACTTGATTTTTGGGTTTATGTTCTAAGTATGTATAATATATAACTGAAAGCAAAACTGTAGACAAGTAATGACTTTCTCATTAAAAAAAAAAAAAAAATACAAGGCCGCCCTCCCGCCCCAACAATTTTCAACAATAGCCAAATTTTATTTTGCACCATCCTCTAGCCAGAAATGAGGTAAAAAAAAAAATAAACCGCCCCCCCCCCCCCTACAGTTTCAGCTGTCAGTTGCCCGAGAAACAAGACATTTATTTTGTGTAGCCTAAAATACATATTTTGAACTGCTGACATATGCAGTTTGCACCGTTAGCATTGAAATAATATTGGCAACGTTATCCTTCCATATATAACCTGCGTTCTGGTTGATGTAAGGGATTAGCCAATGAAACGGTCTGTTGCAGTGAGTTCTTGGCGTGCGATGCACAGAACTGTGGGTATCCTACTAGAAACATCAACGCTTGTTGGTTAATCAATTGTCTGACGTCATAGGATCAAAAGCCGCTCATATGACCTCTGATGTAAACTCCCACTACAACTGGTTAGCTCTTCATGTAGTAGAGGCCATCGAAAGAATAAAAAAAACCCCAGAAACTAAATATAGATCTTTATTTTTATCAGATTGATGAAAAATAACATTTTTGTGTTATGCATGTTAATATCAGTTTTTTTCCCTTCATTTAGATACTGCAATTGTTCTAGAAAGAAATCACACTTTGAACAGTCAACTACTTACTGTTAAAGCATATGAAGAAGAAGTTCTGGAATTGAAATCAATTAAAGTATCTGGTTTTAAGACAGCAAATTTTGAATTGATGGACATGTATTTTACTAATATGAAAGCGTGTGGAGCAGAAGCAGAAACAGTTGAATTAAGTGAAAATAAAGAATATTTACTTGTAACATTTAGCACAACAGAAGGTAAATATATACAAAGCTGTTTACAGGAGGTTAAATAATAAGCGTGAATATAAAACTGTATTTTCCATGTCCTTTTGAATAAAAAAACATGTAGGCTGAACCATATGCAGGTGAAGACAAAGCATATCTAAATAAAACTTTATTTGTAATATCTTGCACACAAGATGTTAGTTTGTACTTATTCAACTTAATGAAGATAAATCATGATTGTTTACTTGGGTATTTTAGTATTACTGAGGATATTATATAATATGATAGTATGGCATGTATATGTTTGTAAATTAAAATTAATACCAACAGAAGGGAAAAGCAAAATTGAATAAACACCGACAAGGACCAAAATTTTTTTAATGGTCTGTAGTGTTCAGGGTATTGCACTAAGTGACCGACAATCCCCGTGGATCCCCTGGACACTCAGAATAATACCAAAAGACTTCACTTCTATCTTTTATTCAGAGTCAAAGTCAAAACTCTGTCAACCTTCCCATTAAAGATCTGAGCTTCAATGATCCTTATATGTTACACATGTAATCCAGAAATTTGGTTCGTTAAGAAGAGTAGCGTAGGAGATGATTGGGTGATTGTCGCTGGTATCAGCTGAACATTGATCGCTGGTGTCAGCTGAACATGAGCGACGATGAAATAAACATACTAAGATAAACGTGAAAGTTTAGTGTAGTGCAGTGCAGACTTTTCAACTTATGAAAGTAAGCACAAAAACCTGACACAATCCCAAAACGTAGAACACATTGTTAACTTTAGAATTTGTTAAGAGAAGTAATGTTTTATTTATAATATACATGTATTTTAGAAGCTGAATTGGTATGTAGTAGAGAACATATATTAGATGGTTGTAATTTAAAAGTTGAAATATTCGACCCATCAACACAAGATAATTCAACACATGATGATGGTAAAAGAATAGTTTGTGTTAGTGGATATAAAGATACAATAAGTAAACAGATGATAGAGATGCATATAGAGAGTGAGAAAAGATTTGGTGCAGTTGCTGAAAATATTGACATAAAGGAAGAGGAAAAGTGTACTTTTGTAACTTTATCTACGGAAAAGGGTAAATATGCCTTTACGTTCAAGTTATTTTATATAATGCCCCGATGTTCTTTAATAAACTATAATTCATTAAAACCTTTGACAAAACTCTGCTTTTTATACCGCCACATTAAGGGATTGAAGCACCATTTATCGCTCTAGGAATCCCTTATAAACCACAATATTGTAAAAGTGTAATCTCTAATTGGAATATCAGTCTAAAAAGAGTGCAATTCTGTTCAGTATTTACAAAGTTGTGATAAATTGAAATTTCATCTATTTATGCTGCTCGAGTGTAACAAGACGGCGCCATATTTTATTGGTAGCGGAGAAGCCTGATAGGCCTGATTTAAATCCGATCGAATCCAATATGGGAGATTATCTAGCATTGGTATTTTGATTGATTTCTTTCTTAATTAAATGTTAAATAATCAATCTTTGTACATATTTAGCATGTAAGCTGTCAGAAATTTGATATTTAATTTTTGAGAAAACGGAAATGGCGTATCGAGCCTTAAAATATTGACGTATGTTATATTTTTTTATCGCGAATTCAAGGTATTTCGCGGAGTTGTCTTTATATGGACGTTCTAGATAATAATTATAGTAACTAGAACCGCGAGGTAGTACTGGCATTTTTGGGCAAATTGCGTCATGTCGCGTCATCATTTCACGTTTCAAGAAGAAGAATTTAATAGCCTTTATCAAGCATGCACAATTTCATAAATTGGATATAAGGTAAACTTACAAGAAACCATGGGCTTTAACTGCTACATTTGTGAATAACAGTTTCGATAATCAAAATTAGAGTGAGGTAATCCTAGGAGAAATAACAGGGTGTGAATACTACATTACTGAATATGTTATGAAGTTACGTCATGCTACATCAACAATCAAGATAACATGCAATATCGAACATAGCAACATCAAGCATCTAAGTTATACTTGAAGATCAAACCTTTTGATATTAGTTGTTAATTGAGATAAGGGTTATTATATACGGTTGAAAATGTTAATGAAAATGGAAATATAATAAATCGGGCCAATACGGCCATATATCATTTTTAGCCTATTTTCATAAAGGAGAGATATATTCATGTTTGGAGAAAATCGTAAGGCCTGGGAAATATCAGGAAATTTCGGAAGATATTATGAACATTTCCAATATGCCATTTTGAAGGCATCAATGTGTCCTTTATTTCAACTTGATACCTCAAATAGCGATAGAAATAAGCCATCTTTAATGTAGAAAAAATGCAGAAGAAAATTTGTTAAAATCTTTGTTTCTAAAACTTAGATGGCAAACTTTGAAATTTAAAAAAACTGCCAGTTGGAGCCTTGGTTTGTCAAAATGACCCAATTTATATTTTATAAATAGTTTTGATCCAGCCTAGAAAATATATAGTATCAGCAGGAATAAATTCACTATGTTTCAATTTTCAAAGAAGAGTCAACTTCTCCATGGAATCCAAAAATGAAAACCTGGTGAAGATCCCTAAAGAAAACTATACTGGTGTTTGTCAATTAAAAATGGCCCAAGTCATATTTAATACGAAGTCCCAATCGGGCCTAGAAAAATTGGGATTGCAGAATGGTTCCACCATGCATGGTTGTGGCTGCACACTCCGACTAATATCAGAAAAAAAATCCACAAAAACTTTAGAAAACAATACGTTTTTCCACAGAAGGGCCTTTAAATAGGGATGTATGTTTTATTTTTGGATCGTGAATTGAAAGGTATGTCGCGGACGTTCTAGATAATGATAAAAATACTATTAATAATAAGGCATACGATTTCATGCGCTCCGATTTCATGCGCATTGTTTTTGGTGAATGGGTTGATAATTATTAAATGGGCTTTTACTCTTGATTATTTATATACACCTGTCCGTCTGTCCACAATTTGTTTTTGGACACTCTACAGGTCACAATTTAGCTTGTGGACCCTCTTGATGTCACAATTTTTATCCGATTTTAAAAAAAGGTTTAAATATATCACCGATACACCATAATGATGGTTGAGTTCGAATTTCGTAAAGATCGGAACGAAACTGTCCGAAAAAATGGCAACTCCTTGTACGCAAATAGTAATACCCAGGTTGAGGTCCCTCTAGAGGTCACAATTTTTATCCAGTTTGATGCAACTTAAAATATATGTTTATATCCTGAAGATCTTGGTTCCTGTAGATATTCACGCAAACTTCCTGGATTATGGCCCCTGATTGTACGAAAAACGCTTCTTGTTTTAGCTTGTTCTCTGTCCATCTCTTGCCAAATGTGGGCGTATCTTGCATGGCAACCGCTTATTAAAAAATCTGCGTGTCTGTCCATCATATTTTTTTTTGAGACACAATAACTGAGTTATTGAGTTAGAATGTTCAAACTTTGTGTAGGTGTTTATTAGGTGAATGTCTTGATGGAGTTCAAAGATGAATATTTTCTGCTAAGGCAAAGCAGAGATAAGCAATTTGATTGCTTGATGCTTTAGGAGATCTTTTCTTTGGTTCTAATTAAGTGAGAGTGATGAAACTTGGTGTATAGGTTCATTATATCAATACCTTGACTAAGTTCGATAATGAGCATTTTCTACTTAGGGTAAGCAGAGCGATAAACAATTTTATTGGTTGAGACTTTGAACCTCGATAACTTTGATTAAAATTGATTGAGAGTTGTGAAACTCATTACCTCAATACCTTGGGCTAAGTAGATACTTCAATTTGATTGGTTGAGACTTTGGAACCCAATAACTCTCCTTGGTGTAGGTCTTTATTTAGGTGAATGGCTTAACAGTGTTCGACCATGCGCATTGTCCACTCTAAGCAGAGATTAGCAATTTGATTGGTTGAGACTTTGGGACATGATAACTTTGGTTCTTATTTAATGAGAGTGATGAAACTTGGTGTATAATTTCAATACATCAATACATTGACTAAGTTCGATAATGAGCATTTTCAGTTCGGGTTAAGTAGAGTGATAAGCAATTTGTTTAGTCAAGACTTTGGAACATTACAACCTAATGTTCATTAGGTGAATGTCTTGACTGAGTTCAATAATTAACATTTTCCGCTAAAGCTAATCAGAGCTAACCCATTTCATTGGTCGATGTTTTGGGTCGATGATGAAACTTAGTGTATAGTTTTACTACCAGGTACATGTACTTCAAAACTTTGACTGAGTTTGACCGTGAACATTTTTGGCTCTTACTAAGTATACATTATTAGTTTGATTTTCAAAAAGATAAATATGCAATTAATTAATATGTGTCAGCTATTTATTTTGGGATTGCGGCGGGGCACATCAGCCTCACTGTTGGTTTGTTCTTAATGATGCAGAACTGGATGTAACGATTTTAGTTGAACTGGGCAAAAGATTTTATGTTAATATGAGCTGAAGACAACCTTATTAATTTGTATCTTCCATCCTGTTATAATGTTGTGATGCTAAAAAAAAAATAACAGCGTCTTTGCTAGTAAAAGTTGCAGCTTGAATAGTACACAATGTTTTTTTGTCACAAGTCTTTTGAAGAAAGCAAGGAAATACTAAATGGAGTTGTCCCTCACACTTCTTGGCACACAGTAACTCTGCTTTTAATTGAGGTAGAATATTCAAACTTGGCATAGTTGATTATTATGTTGTTGAGGGGATCTGTAAGTGCAGTGATCAATCATGAAAACAGCTTATATGTCGACCAAATTTCAGAGTACTAAACAAATTGAAACTAAACCTGAAAATGAAAATTGAACTTTCCTAAAAAAAAAAAATGAAGTCCAACTCCAGTAATGAACAAATTCAATTTAACCAAATACCCAACGAACAAATTCAAAGTCGACAAACTACTAAACATACCAATCAAAGTATCCAAAACACCTGAACAATCAAACCTTAAAGTCCAACAATAAACTTTCAAAGTCCAGTCTAAACTGTAAACAAACACCAAAATATACCAACTTCCCAAACTATCAACCTGGGTCAATATGTGTAAGTGTATATGATCAATGTAAATATGAGCTGTAAAATGTATGATGTTATGTAAAGTGTTACCGAAAACCACATAAATATCTTTTCTATAAATAGGCTATTAGTCTTATCCTAGTAAAACAATAATACACAGAAATTTCTTTTTTTTATAAATCTATCATCTAAAACCTCAGCTTAAGCTATGACAGTAAAAACAAGACCATCGCATAATATTTTATACAAAAAAGAAAAATGTAAATAATCTAAATCGATGATTATATTAAATGAAGAAATAAATAAATAAAAATAAGGGTTGATGGAGTGGTGGGTGGGGTGGGGTTTAAATTAACAAAAGAAAACAAAAATGTTTCCAATTTTAGTCACTGCTGTGAAGACTAAAGGGAGGCAACTTAAAGTACAAAAATCTGAAATGGAGGCAGACCACCATTAAATTTCATCATCTCGGTACCCACGAATTGTAGTTCGTCTATTTATAGCAATTCTCTCTCTCTCTCTTTTCTCCCCTTTTGCATGCCCATTTGTGTTGATTTTTTGGTCTAGAATGGATGAAGAGGGTTTGAATTAACATTTTCTGCCAGGTTTTGGTAAATATTCATGATTTTGAGGCGGAAGGATAAGAGGGTTATCAGGTTAGCTACGGCGATATGTACGGCAACTAGTTACATGTTTTTAGTATGCTTCTTCAAGTTTGTGTATCTCCAAATTTTGGTGGTCAACCTCATACAAATTTTAGTGCAAAGACATGACCATTTGTTCCTCTGTCTGTAGTGGAAAGCATCCAGCCCAACGAAAATTTGGGGAAAAGTTGGAGGTGGGCAAAGAGGCCAGAATTAACATTGAAGTCAATGGGGAAATTAATGGTGGTCTGCCTCCTATATGAAAACAACCTGACAGTGGATGAAAGGCCTAAATTTGATGATATGATCTCCAAATTGTCAGAAAATGTGATATATGGCATTTTGATAGTAAAAAATGTGAAATGGTAAAATTTCAAAAATATTTGACAAATTTGGGAGGGGAAATTTTGATTTTAGTCAAAATTTT